AATTTTGTTATTATTATTTGTTTATTTGATTTAGAATATATATATATATTATATATATATATATATATTATATATATAATAAATTTTTTCACGAATTTCAAATATGATTTTTAGGAATTTTGAAGTTTTTCTTAATAATATTATTAAATAATATATTTTTAAAAAAATAAATAAGTAATTTGAGAGGTAAATTTTTCTCTTTTTTCTCTTAGTGGAAACTAATTTTTAGAGAAACTTTTATTTATATTTATCTTATAAATAATATGTTTTCAAACCTTAATTATATTTTTGTTTAACCGTTCTAGGTCATTACTTCATCTTTTTTCTTTCTTCTTCAACGTGAAGGGAAAAAACAATAAATTCTTCTTTGCTTTTCTTTTTATATTTGATCTATAATCATAATTATAGTTTATATTTGTGTTCTTTCTAGAAAATCATATATAAAAGCAAGAGAGTGAAAGTTACCTCGTTCATTATGATTGATCGTAATCAACAAAAACAATCAAAATCCAATACAAATGATGAGTCAATGATCAATTAAGGTAGGAGAGGTGAGAATGAGAACAAATTGTTCTTATTTTATGAATGTATAGTGTGAACTGAATAAAGACAAAAGAACAAATATATTTATTAAGGAAAAACAGTATATAGCTTCAATATAACTTGAATTATTTTATTTGGTTTGAGATTGTGTTTTGCTTTGCATGTTCTTAGGGTTATTTTTGTGAATTATTTTTTGGACCTAGGACTGTATTTTGGTTTTAATGTTCTTAGGGAGTCGTTGTTGTGGTGTTTTTGAGAATAGATAATTAATATAGTGTGAACCTCATATATAAAGATTTAAGCTCATCAAGATCAATGGTAGTTAGTAGATCAAATTGCAACAAATATTTTTCATAATCTAGAAGTAATTGTATGATTACTTTGTTTTAGTTTTCAGAGTAAGAAGTTATAACTTTCTTTCATCTATTAGAGTTTTTTTTCTTTTGTGTTATATTTTCTCTAACTATTTTTTTTTCATCTTTTTTTTTTTGGAGTCCACTGGTTGCCTTTTCTTTAGGGCTTAGTTATATCTTTATTTCCTGTATTAATAAAATACGATCCCTTTCATAATAATAAAAAAGTTCTAGACTAATCTAATATTATTTATTTATTAATTTATTAGTATTATTAATATTATTATTGATTTATTAATTTATTAATTTTTTTATTTTCTTTTCTCACACTTATTTATTATAATATGGATAGGTTCAAATAATGTTATTTTCAGCAATCAAAATATTGATATTTTTCCCAATCAAAGTTCAAGGTAAAAATTATAATTTATTTTTTAATAATAAAATATATTCTATATGATATTTTAAAATACTTTTTAAAAGTCTAATTTAATTTATTTTTTTATTTAAATGTAAGTGCAGAAGAATTTATGGATCGTCATGATGGATTTAACTTATTTGTATTTCTAGAAAATGACTTTATGCTTTTAGTAAATTTTATTCTAAACATTTTATGTTTATTCTAATAATATTCAGTATTAATTTTATTATTATAATATTTTAAATATATTGTTAGTTATCATAATAAATTTTAACTAATGCTATTTTGTAACATAAATAAATTATGCCATAAATTATTTTTGCAACATTTACAAATTACGATAAATTTATTTAGTTAGAATAACATATCAAATTTAGTCCAAATAAAAAATATTTCAAATTTATTTAGTTACAATATTTTCTCATAATAATAAATTATGACAAATTTATTTTGTCATAATAACAATTTAAACACATATTAATTTATCAATATAAAATTATGACAAATAATATTATTTCACAATAATAAGCTGTAAAAAATTATTTAGTCAAAGTAACTTATTAAATTTAGTCAAAATAAGAAATTAAGTAAAATTTATTTCGTCACGAAATAAAAGTAATGAGAAATTAAATTTTACTGTAATATGTCTTTTTGTCACGAAAACCTTTTTATTATATGTTATAATTTAAGTTAATTCTGACAAAATTTATTTTTGTAATAAAATAAATATTTTAATTTAACAAATATGTTATTTCTATAAATTATATTTATTGACGAAATATAAATGATGAGAAATTATTTTTAATTGCAATATGTATTTTTGTCACAAAAACCCTCACGTTTGATGTTAAAATGCAAGTTAATTATGACAAAACGTATTTCTCATAACGAAATAGTTAATTGATTGTGACAAATACTTTGTCATGATAAGTTAATTATAGTAACAAAATTTCATCATTACAATAAATAATATAAAATGGTAACAAACACAATTTCGTCACAATATACTTTACATAACGAAGTTATTCTAACAAACATGGTAACAATAAAATTCATCAAAATAAATATATCGTGACAAATTTATTACTTTTAGTGATAAATAATTTTATTATAACAATAGAAATTTCTTGTAGTGTATTATGTAAAAGTTTGGAAGCCGTTCCCAAAACCACCAAAAGATAGTTTGGCATTAAACTTTTGGGTTAATTATTCTTGCATTAAATATTTTTCTATTGAAGACGCAGAAGTAAATAGGGGTGAGCAAAATTTAATTCAACTTGAAAAATTGATTTTGTTCAATTTTTAGTTATTCGTGTTATTCAATTCAACTATAATTGTCAATTCGGTTTTGAAGTTCGAGTCAAGTTGAAATTTTGAAATTTTGAGTTACTCAGAAAATCAAAAATTTGATTAAGTATTTTGATAGTTTTACGATTTAGTTTTTGATTTCATTATTTCTTAATTTTCTCCATTTTAACTCCATTTTTATTTTTTACCAAATTTGAGCTACATGCTCCTAAACTATCGTAGAATACATGTGTACTTTCAATTCCTCCTTTTTATAACAAATTTTTTATTTTTCAATTTAATCCCTCAATTTTTTCGTAATTTCCTTATTTCTTCAATTCGTCCTTTATTTTAAGTTTGTTTTTTTACCAAATTTGAACTAATGCTCATATACCACAATAGAATACGTATGTAACTTCAATTATTAAGTTTTTACTAAAATTGTAATCTCCTTTTTGGTCCTTTAACTTTGCATTTTACTCATTTTGGTCTTTTGAATACAATTGTTTGTAATTTTTTTTATTCCCATCAATTCATTGGCTCCTTTATACTCTCATCAATATTTTACTCTCAAAATACTTTCTTTAAAATATAATATTATGAATATATTAAACAGAATCCACTGGCTCTACAGTTGGAAAGCTTCCTCCCAAAGCAAATTGAACATTCGACTCAAAGATGATTAAACAGACTGATTGAAATGAAAATTAAATTTTAATGTTATAATTAAAGTAATTGAAAATTCAGTGTTATAAACAATATGTCGTCTAAAGTTGAATGATAAATGATGTAGTTAACATTTTAAAATATATATAAATGTCTATAAATATGTCCCGGGTTTTGGGAAGAAGGATGAAAAAACAAAGATAAAGAATTTTCTACTTATCAATTATATTCCTAGGAAATATGCAGTCCGTAGAGGAGGGCGAAGTTCTCCGTCCAATGCCATCTTTCTCCAAAAACATATGGAGAGATCATTTCCTCCAACTGGCGACTTGGTAATCTTCTACATATTTTTGCAAACACATGTACTTTACCTTCTTATTTATGATGTGTATTCTACTTAATTTTTCAAGCAGTCTCAGGTCTTTGATTCTTTCACCAAAGAAATAGATCCATTGAAGGAGAAAGTGAAGGACATGCTGAAGGCTTCTACGGCTGATCCCATTGAGAATGTTAAACTCATAGATACTCTGCTCCGCCTTGGTGTTTCATATCACTTTGAGAATGATATTCAAAACCAATTGGAAAGCATTTTCAGTTCCCTCCAAAGTGTTCTTGTTGCAGGAAATGACCTTGACTTAAACTCTACTTCTATTGTCTTTCGAGTTTTCAGACAATATGGTTTCAAAATGTCTTGCGGTAAGAATAACAACATTCGCATGTGAATACTGAAATAACTATGAATGTTATTATCCAATCCAATTTGCGAATATCAGATGTTTTCAACAAATTCAAAGACATTGATGGTAAGTTGAAAGAAATTCTGATCGATGATGCTAAGGGAATGTTAAGTCTGTACGAAGCTAGCCATCTGAGAGTTCATGGGGAATGTGTACTAGAGGAAGCCCTTGCATTCACCACTGCAAACTTGAACTCATCGGCAAAGAAATTTTCCCCGCTTGTTGCCAAGCTAATAACCAACGCCCTTGATCAGCCATTGAACAAATCCTCTCCAAGGCTAGCGGCAAGGACCTATATCTCTTTCTATGAGGAAGAGGAGTCCAGAGATGAGCCCCTTCTTAAGTTTGCAAAGCTAGACTTTAATCAAGTACAAATTCTTCATAAACAGGAGGTCAGCCAAATCACAAGGTATATATATAAATCTTTTTGTATGACTTTGAGGATTGATTCCTGATGACTTTTTGCATGCATGTTAAAGGGACTTTTATGTTGCAGGTTTTGGGAGGAAAATAAGTTTTCCTCTGAACTTTCTTATGCAAGGGAGAGATATGTGGAGATCTACACATGGATTAATTACCTATTTTTTGAACCTTGCTACACAAAGTGGCGGATAATTCTTACTAAGATGATCTTACTTCTATCAATTTTAGATGACACATTTGATGCTTATGGGACACCTCAAGAGCTTCAACGTCTTATAGACGCGTTAAAAATGTAATGAGATGCATATGATTCTAATTCTTACTATGCGATGGTTAGTCATCTCAATAATACCAGAGTTAATATTCATGCATATCCATTCTAATATTCAGATGGGACATTAGTGCTCTTGATGAGTTGCATGATTACACCAAAGTTATTTGCAAGACTGTGCTAGTTGTTTTTGATGAAATAGCTGAGGAGGCTAGGAAGGAAGGAAGATCTTACGGTGTCCCTTATGCAAGAGATGCTGTAAGATCAACTATCAACTGGTTCTTGTATTTAATTGTAACTTATATCTGTTCATGTTTTAACATTGGTCGCATAATTAGTTCATTGGACTGGTGACCAACTATCAAGCTGAGGTGAAATGGTACCATGATGGTTATGTACCAACATTTGAGTAGTATATGAGCGTTGCAATGAAGACGTCTACCTTTGATCCCTTAATAACAATATCATTCATAGGAATGGGAAAAATTGCAGGGATAGAAGCATTTGAATGGCAGCGAAACGATCCCAAAATTATGCAGGCTACAAATGTTATTGGTCGTCTCATGATGACATAGTATCACATAAGGTAATCATTTAATAAAAAGATTTATTTGAATGTCTTGTACAGAATTTAACAATTATTTTGGTGGCTCATTCTAATTGAAGTTCGAGCAATTGAGAGAGCATGCACCTTCCAGCGTTGAATGCTACATGAAGCAACACAACCTTTCAGAGCAACTTACGCTTAAAGCATTTGAGAAACTGCTGGAGGATGCATGGAAGGATGTAAATGAAGAATGCATGAGACCAACATGTATCCCAAGAGATCTGCTCTTACGACATTTGAACTTCGCTCGAGCATCATATTTGTTTTACAAACATGGAGATGGATACACACATCCGGAATATGTGAAGATGACATCCGTGCTTTGTTCGTTGATCCAATACCTATTTAAAGACTATCATTTTCCTACTTTCTTGTGCTTGACCATGCATATTTAAGTGTGTTCAAATTATCTTATTCGATGTGTTCTATGTGATACCAACTAGTGTGGTACTAGAATAAATTGGACGTAGGATCCATTATGTTGTTGAATATTCGAGTATATATGATGTACGATCTTTTTGTATTACGGTCATAAATGGTGTTTTTTTTAAAACTTTAATTCTACAATTTGGAGATTTTTGAAGACTTGAGAGTGAATGGCAAGTGCAATGATCTAAAATTAAGTTTCTTTCTACATCAACATGATGTAGATTTTTTGTTTTATATGTCTTATCATTTTTCCCTATGATCTAAGATAATCTTTATACATCGACATGAGGTAGAATTTTCTATGAATTAATATAACTCACGCTACAAAGTCCAAACTTGATATCTTGTCAATCATATGTTGTTTTGATATTGAAATTTACGTGTTCGGAATTACTTTCAAATAAGATCCTTTCATGGATGTAAATTTATTTAAACTGAGTGCTTTGTTTAAAAATCTCAATTGATCCCTTTTGAAAATGACATGGTTTACTCAATTTTTTTTTTCCAGATATGTACTTTTATTTTGAGAAATTAACCTAGATCACGCCCTAATAATTTATGAAACTATCTCATTAATTCTCAAATAAATTAACATTGCAATTTGCAATTTTATTGGCTCATTCTTTGGTGATTTTCTATTGACTTTGATCTAGAGATTATGATCGGATCATTGATGATTATCAGAAGGCTTCAGGAAATAAGGATCAACTCTACATAGGCATGCTACACACCTTATATAAAGATATAGTTTGGTTGAGAGTGATGCATACAAGTTAACAAAAAATTACACAGTTGAAGTGAATTTACTCTGTAATCAAAATCTAATTATAAATTGTTTAACGAATTATACTAAATCGTAAATAAATGTTTAATATGATAAAATATGTCTAAATATCAATTATGAGATGATTGAAATGACATATTTATTTAATATGTTGTTTAATAACGTGATCTTCATATCTAAAACTGAGCCATCTAACTTTGAAACATCTTTTAATTATGGGATATAGATTTTTTTTTTAAAATGAGAACGAGACAAACACACTCCATTATTAGGGAAAAAAGATATAAGAAAAACTATAGACACATTTAAGTTTCATGTATTGGGGTTGGATTGAAAACTCTTTAAAAAATCACTGTTAGGGAAAAGATTACATTGTACAAGTTTTCACTGTATTGGGAACGAGACAAACACACACCATTATTAGGGGAAAAAAAGATATAGAAAAAACTATAGACACGTTTAAATTTCATGTATTGGGTTTGGATTGAAAACTCTTTAAAAAAATCAATGTTAGGGAAAAGATTACATTGTACAAATTTTTACTGTATTGGAAACGAGACAAACACACTCCATTATTAGGAAAAAAGATATAAAAAAACTATAGACGCGTTTAAGTTTCATGTATTGGGTTTGAATTGAAAACTCTTTAAAACAAATTCACTGTTAGGGAAAATATTACATTGTACAAGTTTTCACTGTATTGGGAACAAGACAAACACACTCCATTATTAGGAAAAAAAGATATAAAAAACTATAGACACGTTTAAGTTTCATGTATTGGGTTTGGATTGAAAACTCTTTAAAAAATTCGCTGTTATGAAAAAGATTACATTGTACAAGTTTTCACTGTATTCAGAATGAGACAAACATACTCCATTATTAGGAAAAAATATATAAAAAAACTAGAGACACGTTTAAGTTTCATGTATTAGGTTTGGATTGAAAACTCTTTAAAAAAAATTCACTGTTATGGAAAAGATTATATTGTACAAACTTTCAGTGTATTGAGAACGAGACAAACACACTCCATTATTAGGAAAAAACAAGATATAAAAAAACTATAGACATGTTTAAGTTTCATGAATTGGGTTTGGATTGAAAACTCTTTAAAAAAATTCACAGGGAAAAGATTACATTGTACAAGTTTTCACTGTATTGGGAACGAGACAAACACACTCCATTATTAGGGAAAAAAAGATATAAAAAAACTATAGACACGTTTAAGTTTCATGTATTGGGTTTGGATTGAATTAAAAAAAAAAATCATTGTTATGGAAAAGATTACATTGTACACGTTTTCACTGTATTGGGAACGAGGCAAACACTCCATTATTAGGAAAAATATATAAAAAATTATAAACACGTTTAAGTTTTAGGTACTGGGTTTGGATTGAAAACTCTTTAAAAAAACTTCACTGTTAGGGAAAAGATTACATTGTACAAGTTTTCACTGTATTGGAAATGAGACAAACACATTCCATTATTAGGGGAAAAAAGATATAAAAACTATAGACACGTTTAAGTTTCATGAATTGGGTTTGGATTGAAAATTCTTTAAAAAAAATTCACTGTTAGGGAAAAGATTACATTGTACAAATTTTCACTATATTGGAAATGAGACAAACACATTCCATTATTAGGAAAAAAAAAGATATAAAAAACTATAGACACACTTAAGTTTCCGCTATTGGGTTCGGATTAAAAACTCTTTAAAAATGGTAATGAAGGAAGATGCGGAGAAATAAATAAATAAACAATGGAAAATATTATATCGTACAAGTTTCACTTATGTTATGTAAAAGTTTGGAATCTGTTCCCAAAACCACACAAAAGATAGTTTGGCATTAAACTTTGGGGTTAATTATTCTTGCATTAAATATTTTGCTATTGAAAACGCATAAGTAATTAGGGCTGATCAAGATTTAATTCGACTCGAAAAATTGATTTTGTTCAATTTTGAGTTATTCGTGTTATTCAATTCAACTATAATTGTCAATTCGGTTTTCAAGTTCGAGTCAAGTTGAAATTTTGAAATTTTGAGTTACTCAGAAAATCAAAAATTTGATTAAGTATTTTGATAGTTTTACGATTTAGTTTTTGATTTCATTATTTCTTAATTTTCTCCATTTTAACTCCATTTTTATTTTTTACCAAATTTGAGCTACATGCTCATAAACTATCGTAGAATACATGTGTACTTTCAATTCCTCCTTTTTATAACAAATTTTTTATTTTTCAATTTAATCCCTCAATTTTTTCGTAATTTCCTTATTTCTTCAATTCGTCCTTTATTTTAAGTTTGTTTTTACCAAATTTGAACTAAATGCTCATATACCACAATAGAATACGTATGTAACTTCAATTATTAAGTTTTTACTAAAATTGTAATCTCCTTTTTGGTCCTTTAACTTTGCATTTTACTCATTTTGGTCTTTTGAATACAATTGTTTGTAATTTTTTTTATTCCCATCAATTCATTGGCTCCTTTATACTCTCATCAATATTTTACTCTCAAAATACTTTCTTTAAAATATAATATTATGAATATATTAAACAGAATCCACTGGCTCTACAGTTGGAAAGCTTCCTCCCAAAGCAAATTGAACATTCGACTCAAAGATGATTAAACAGACTGATTGAAATGAAAATTAAATTTTAATGTTATAATTAAAGTAATTGAAAATTCAGTGTTATAAACAATATGTCGTCTAAAGTTGAATGATAAATGATGTAGTTAACATTTTAAAATATATATAAATGTCTATAAATATGTCCCGGGTTTTGGGAAGAAGGATGAAAAAACAAAGATAAAGAATTTTCTACTTATCAATTATATTCCTAGGAAATATGCAGTCCGTAGAGGAGGGCGAAGTTCTCCGTCCAATGCCATCTTTCTCCAAAAACATATGGAGAGATCAATTTCCTCCAACTGGCGACTTGGTAATCTTCTACATATTTTTGCAAACACATGTACTTTACCTTCTTATTTATGATGTGTATTCTACTTAATTTTTCAAGCAGTCTCAGGTCTTTGATTCTTTCACCAAAGAAATAGATCCATTGAAGGAGAAAGTGAAGGACATGCTGAAGGCTTCTACGGCTGATCCCATTGAGAATGTTAAACTCATAGATACTCTGCTCCGCCTTGGTGTTTCATATCACTTTGAGAATGATATTCAAAACCAATTGGAAAGCATTTTCAGTTCCCTCCAAAGTGTTCTTGTTGCAGGAAATGACCTTGACTTAAACTCTACTTCTATTGTCTTTCGAGTTTTCAGACAATATGGTTTCAAAATGTCTTGCGGTAAGAATAACAACATTCGCATGTGAATACTGAAATAACTATGAATGTTATTATCCAATCCAATTTGCGAATATCAGATGTTTTCAACAAATTCAAAGACATTGATGGTAAGTTGAAAGAAATTCTGATCGATGATGCTAAGGGAATGTTAAGTCTGTACGAAGCTAGCCATCTGAGAGTTCATGGGGAATGTGTACTAGAGGAAGCCCTTGCATTCACCACTGCAAACTTGAACTCATCGGCAAAGAAATTTTCCCCGCTTGTTGCCAAGCTAATAACCAACGCCCTTGATCAGCCATTGAACAAAT